GGGTGGCCGGTCCGGGGGGGGTGGGGGGGGGGTGGGTGCGTGGGCAGGCGGGGAAGCTGAAGGGTTTCGTGTCTGGCTCTCCTTGACAGGGCGATGCGGGTAACCTTCCGCGTCCGGCCTTTCCTCTTTGGAAAGGTCACCCCGCCCGCTCGACGGCGGCTCGGGCGACAGACGCGGCGCGTTCGTGGAGGGACCGGGATATGCCTCCGAGACCCGCCGCGGTCTGCCTCGCTTTCCAGACCGAATACAGTATCCCCGAATCTGACAATGAGAGGAGGAGGAGGAGGGAGGGAGGGAAGGAAGGAAGGCGTTGACAAGAGGCCCGTCTCCCAGTGGGACACAACAACAAAGAGCGGGACCTGTTCCAGGAAAGAGGGCTCGAGGCCAGCCTCCCAGAGGGTCCATCAGGCGCCCCTCTCGGAAAGGGGGCTTCTGCTCCGGCAGGCGGACAGAGCGCTCCTTTCCCCTTCCAGAAGCGGCCAGCCTCTGGGGAGACTTCCTTTCCCTGGGCAGCCTTCCAAGCTACCTGCTGCCTCTTTCTTTCTCTCCCTCTCTCTCCCCCCCCTCCCCCGGTCGTCTTTGTCTGGGACCGTCACGCGAGGGAGGCTTGTTGTTCTCATGTCAAAGAATAGACCACAGACGGTCTCGCTGCTGCTGCTGCAACAGCAGTAGGAACTGCCGCCACCGGTCACCCGCCGGCCAGCTCCCGCCTTCTCCTCCCCCTTTCCCCCTCTCGTCCCGCCACCTTCTCGCCCTCTACAGACGCGCGACATCCCTGCTGGGAATACAGTAGCTCGGCCTCCCGAAAGAGCCGGCCAAGTGAAGGAGGGAAAACGACTCGCTGGAAGGGAGCAATACAGAAATCTCTCTCTTCTCTCCCCCCCCCCCCCGAGGACGCCCCCCCCCCCCCCAATCTCTCTAGACACGGGGCATCTGGGCTTGCTTTGAGGTTGGTTTATTTCTCCCCCCCCCCGAGACAGTCGCACCGCCACCACAATGACCGCACTACAGAGGGGCGGAGCTTCAGCCCCGCAGGTGTCACCGCCGGTCACGCCGCCAGCTGCCCGAGCCGCGCATGCGCTGCCTGCGCTATTGTCCCCGCCTTGCTCAGCCCTTCCCCCTCCCGCTCCGGGTCTTCTAACCCCAAAGCGTGGGTTGGAGCCTCGCGCAATCCAGCCGAGGAGGGCTGCGGGAACCTCGACTCGACCCAGTTCCACGCCGCCGCCCATCTCCTACCCCCGCATCCTTCCCGTGGTCCTTACGCAGTGCGTAGGCAATTCCTGACTTCGTCGGGAGGCGGCTCCCCCATATAAAATAGGGGCGAAGCGCCCGCTCCCCTCTCATCCCCACCTCGGGACAAAAACAAGAGCAGGCGCCCGCCTGCAAAATCACAAGGTGGGAAACAGTCCAAGCCCCCTCCGAGGGAGGGAGAGTCAGTCTGGTTGCTGTCCTTCGCCCTCATGAAGCACCCGAGTGTGTTTACTAAAAGACGCACCAAGCGGCGAAGCAACAACAATCTCGGCGTTGGGCCTGATTTCGGTGAGAAACAGCGTGATTTGCCGGCCTGCAGTGATTTCCTAAGCATCAGCGGGAGCCCCCGCTTCCCTTTCATCTCCCACACCCCGCTGCCCACCGCTCTCCGGCAATCGCCGCTTCCCACTGAGAGCGCAACCTGATCGCCAGGACTGGGGCGGAGGGCGATTCCGGAAACAGGTTCCACGACTCAGCCCTGGAATACACAGAATGAAGTGCGCGCCTGAGCATGTGCAAAGTGTCTTTCCCAGCCACCTATCCGTCCCAAGAGGCCTGCTCTATCTTTGGCGAAATAACAGGACTTCCAGTTATGGCTTCTATATAGGTCTGAGCTCTGCTGTTGCTTTTGCATCTTTTTGTCTTGTGTGCGTTATTTTTATAAAATAAATTTAACCTGACTGAGGCACTTGTCTTTACTTAACATTATAAAACGCATGCACGCCATGCCCATTACTCCTGAGAGGCTCCGGGGATAACACAGACACAACCAGTGCATTAACTCTCAACTATCAAGTTACTTTGCCTTCTCAGTTTGCAGCCGGATGGCCAAGCCAACTCCCTGACCTATTTCAAAACCAATAGAGATCAACTCACCCTCCGTTTTGTAGTGTGTACCCAGTAGGGCCTCTCTCCTATATTATTCAGGGTAGAGGAGAGCTAAGCAGTGCGCTATTCAGAGGCTCTGGCTCTGCTGATTTCGAGAACACTAGACACACAACTAGGGCAAAAGAGGCTACTAGGGAAATTTGAGCATAACCCCACAACAGATCAGCAGTTAATTCTCAAATATAACTATATCCCTAAAACTAGGAAGTATCCATGATGCTCCATTCCATGTCGGTTTGTTCAAAAGTAATACTGCCCTCAAACATGCTGTTTGGACTATGCATGAGGGTAATCCATAAACCATATTTAGAGTTCAGTTCTTCACTGTACCGCTGTCAGGAATACATATTATGCAACACAGACCCAATACTCATATTCTTCACTCTTAATGCAATCTCCCATTAAAATTTAATGCACGCACCTGCACATGCTGCAGCTGTATTTTTCTCCCCCTGGGCATTAATTCAGCGAGCAGGAAAACATGGCCAAATAGCTTAGTCACCAACACATTAGAAAACAGAGCCTGGAGGACTGAGAAAGGGCTTTTGGAGCAATGAGACTGCAATTCTGTAACAACTTATCTGGGACTTAAGTCCCACTGAACTCAGTAGAGCTCAGGTCTAAGCAGACACCAGGGTACTGCACCTTCAGAGAATCAAGGAATCCCGTCTTCAGTACACATAGTACATCCACAATAATATAAACACATGTATACAGTTACTATACTCTCCAAATCTTCCTCCTTTCCCTTTTCCCACACCTCCATTTCTGTGCCTCCCTGCCAAATGTATGCATCCTCTTCTTATCCAAATGTATGCATGCTCATCTTACCCGCTATCCTGAGCACAGCTCTTTCAGCTGGATCCAGCACAGATCCTCCATGAATCTTCCTTTTGGACCTCTCGTGTTTAGGTAGGTTCCAGGGCAGGGTGTCACCAGGAGCAGGAGACAAGGAACCAGATTTCTGGCTCAAATCGTCATCGTCAGAAAAATCCGCAGAGGACGACATGGAGCATCTGTAAGAAGCGTTTCCCGAGCTCTAGAGAAAGAGGGAAGATTTTTTTTAAAAAAAATGAATAGAACAGTGAATAAATGCAACTAAAACAGGCACAATTCCCACTTCAAAATGAAGCAATACACACTTCTGTCGTCTAGATCGGCCTCTAGGGGAGAAAAATCCACCTGAAATGGATAGAAGGGAAAGCTTCCCACCTTCCCAGCAGCCAACCATATTTTAAAATCTCAATTAATAGATCGCTCACCATCCTTGTTTATCTGCTCCTGCTCGTTGGTTTAAGCCCACCACCGGCAACAGGGGAGAGACGGGCTTTAGTGAAAATGCATTTGTGGCAGGCTTTGTGCGAGGGGGACCCGGTGGCCTGGCGTTCTGGGAACCGGCTCACAATGATCCTCTGGAGTTGCCCAGCAATCACACCAGAAAGGAAAAGAGAAGCGGGGGGCAGGGCGGGGAGGAAAAGACAGGGAAGCGATTATCTCTTTTTTTTAAAAAAAATTAATAAATGAAAATGTGTGGAGGGGAGGGGAGGCTTGCCGGTGACAAATCGATAGCATTTGGCTCCCCCGCCAGGCCGAGGAAAAGAGGTGCCAACCCTTAGGCTGCTGGTTCAGTCCTTGATGAAGCGAGGAGGAGACGCGCGGAGAGCAGCCGCCCCCATCACGGCTCCAGGATGCCGGTGGCGGCGGCGGCGGGAGGGGGGGGCGGTTGCTTTTGCCCGTCTATATCCGAAACCACGCCCTGGGAAAGTCTCTCGTTTGGTTTTATTTCCTTCCTTTCTGGTGCGGCGGCCGGGCTTCTCTTTCCGAAGCGTCTCCCCGGCTTGTTTTGGCGGCCGGTCCCCCAGACAAAGTCCGCCGGCAGGAAATGTGGCGTTTTCCTTGCCGCTCCTCAACGCGCCGAGCTGGGGAAGAGCACAAAGGGCGCGTTGCGCCAGCTCGCCTCAGGAGAGGAGAGGAGAGGAGAGGAGAGAGGTCCCTTCAGTAAACACCGCCGCTCGGGTTTGTTAGTTATATGGCCCTTCAAGGCGGGCGGGACGGGGTTGGAAAGGCCGGAGAGACTGTCCAGTCGCCTCCGGACAGGTACCAGCTGCTGCCCGGCGAGCCCCAACCAGGCAGCTCGGAATGTAAACAAGAAATGATGCAGTGCAGGCACAAAAAAGCAAGCGAGAGGAGGACGCTTCTGGCCTTTCCCGGGAGCCCTCTTGCCAGGGAGGGCATCCACCGGCGGTCCTGGCGGGAGGGAGACTGCGAAGGAGAGAGGAGGAATGGGCTCAGAGCTCACACCGGCTCCGTCTTGTGCCTGTGCTTTTCCCGGTAAGGGTCTGCAGGTCACCGGGGAGCCCAACAATGGCGACATTTATTGACTGGGGGGAAAGCCCGGGATGTTGCTTGGGTCCGGGCGTGCTGTGTCATTGCAGCCGCAGCAGCCCTGACACACCAGACTTGGGCCATGAGACAATCTCTGGCCCTGTATTGTGCCCCTTTTCTTCCCTTCACCCTCATCCCCTTCTTTCCCAAGTATGATTTTTTTTACAGGATACATTTTTCTAAACTGCATCCATTAATTATACAGCACAAGTATATACAGCTAGCTAGCTTTTTTTCTTTTTATAAAACCATGTGGATGCCCTAGGCCTTTAGAGTACAGCAACAGCTTTGTCTTGCGTCCTTGCTAATACACACTTCATTATTCTTTCTCTGCATAGGGGTAGGGGACTTAATGTACTCCACAAGTTTTGGACTTCAGTTCCCTGAGAGTCCAGCAGGCTCAGCCCTTAATCTGGGATTGTACAGTAGTCTGAAATACCTGTCAGTCCAAAGCTGAAACGTCAGGAAGAACAACCTTCAGAACACGGCCAAAAAGCCCGAAAAACCCACAACCACCACTTCCTCTCTTTCTCTTTATTATGATCCTTCACCCTTTGGAGAGATTTCATGCAAGTATTAGCTGTCTTTAGGTATGACCATAGTGGTGTGGAAACTCCACACCATGTGGAAGACTCACACCACACTTCATGCTTAAGTGGAATGCACTGCCTAATATATCACAAAAGAGTAGACATGATGCTTATGTATGCCTCTCAGCTGAAGCTGAAGCTCACTCTCAGCTGAAAAAAAGACCTAATAAGGAAGCACAATTGGAAGTGTACAGTATCTTATTGAGCCAAATTATACTGAAATAAACTTTAAATTGATTCTAAAGAGCCATCCTTTCTTATACTGTACTTTTATTCTATAGGACCACCTTTTCCTATACTTACTCTAAAATGCCTTTTTCGACATTATGTTATGCCATTTGTCCTCAAGTTGGAACTGACATATACTAGGGCTTTTCAAGGCAAGTGAGATTTTTAAAGAGTGGCTTTACCAGTTCCACAACCCCAGTGAGATTCCATGGCTGAGTGGGGATTCAAATTCTGGCCTCCTGAGTCCTAGTCCATCACACTCTCCACTGCACCACTCTGGGTATCATAGTCTATATTATCAGGGTTTAATAAAGGATTTTATTTGTTTCAACATTTGCAACAGTTTTGATCATCCTCTGTCACAGAAATGTGAGTTTAAAAGTTTTAAAATAAATATAGTACTAGTAATAGAGGTCTTAGTAGCAGTAAATGCCATAAAATAAAGCAAGAGTATATAGGTGTCTGGTCTGTCTGCCCTGTTTTGCATGAACCTCAAATACCGAAACTGTAGCCAAAGCTTGTTTAAGGATTTCCTGTTAAGGCTCCTATCCAAGTGAACACAAAAAGTCTATGGAGGGGCAGTTAAGCCAAACTATTTTGAGAAAGCACTTGAAATGAGCCATTAATGGAATTCATTTGATGGAAAAGTTACTGAACATCACCTTTTCCTCTGAAAATTAAAAAAAACCCTGCAGTACTGAAGGGTCTGTAATTGTTTTTAGATGCTAAATATTGGTATGACAATTGTGGCAAATTTGCATGTTTTAAAATTCCTAGAATGTTTAAATTATTAACTTTATACACTTCCAGTACAGTACATATTCCTGTGTTTACAGATTTTTAAAATCACATATATCTTAAGAAATATTAAAGATATAGTGGTAAATAACATCAGACAGTGCACATTTTGATAATTATGCAGATTTATTTTTAATCTAGCTGTCAAACCTGTTATGTATTGGTTGGATATTTATTTTATTTGTATTATTTTCATTGTTTTAATTTTAGGTCTTTTTAGAATTCAACTGAAAAGGTTGCATATTTCCCATATTTTCCTTAAATATTCATTTCCTCTTCCTAATCATATTATTTTAAATTTTTCATCACATCAAGGCAAAATAAAGATAGCATCACAGCTTTGATCATGGTACCACAGGGCTTATTTTTAGACTTCACATTAAATCATTTAGACAAGAGGAATACATGAAAAGATTAAAGAAAGCTACAGACGGTGGGAGACTGACTTGCTCTACCTAGGATTGTATTGCAATAGCTTGTGTACCACTTCCCTCTACTGGATATGTCTGACCGCAGCTGTTTTTTCTTTAGTATGGACAACATCTCTTGGCTGGCAAGCTAAACAGAGAAACAAGAGCCATAGTAAAGCAATGTCTAAGGAGCAAAGGGCAGTTTTATTTATTGGAACATTCTGCAAATAGCCAAGGCCTTCTGTAGCTCATCCCAGATTTCTTCATATGAAAAGGGTCAAGTATATAATTTAGGAAATGTGGTTTATCTTAAATTTTGTTTAAATATTGCTGAATTTTTTACAAGATAATGTTCACTTGCTGCTCTAAAGGGCCTTTTGTTTCTTTTTAGACAATAACTGGGCTATAGTAAATCTATTTCTAAGGAGACAAAGTCATTTTTCATGGAATATTTATTTATTGGAACATTCTGCAAATAGATGAGGCATGGGCTAGGTATTCTTACTACTTTTAGCAGCGTCTTATCTGTCTCTCTCTTACACATACACACATATACATTAGGATTAAGCTTAGTATTTTCAAAGTGCAAATTAAATACAGTTCTGCTTGCCTCATCTCAAGATGGATATTGCAGAAATGGCATGATAAAGATCAGGGGTCAGAATAAACTCTCCTAAAGGGAGAGGTTAGAAGGTCTCGGGCTTTTTCATTTAGACAAAGTAACAATTTATAACATTATGGATGATATGGAGAGAAAGTCTTCTCTTGCTCTCATGGTAGAACACACACCATCCTATGAAACTGAATGATTCAGAGATCTGCGATGGCTAAAAGGACTGTCTCCACACAGCACATAGTTAAACTAGGAAATTTGTCACTATAGGAAATGGTGATGGCCACCAACCAATTTAAATTATTCTGGAGCTGAATTATACAAATTCATGAGAAATAAAGCTATTTATGCCTAATAGATTGCATATAGGATCAGAGGCAGCATACTACCTCTGAATTCCCACAGTTGGGAATACAGGCAACAGAGAGTAACTGCCTCCAGGTCCTCTGTTTGTGGGCTACCTGTAGGCCACTGTGAGAGACAAAGCACCAGATGCTAGGCCCTTGGCCAGACTCATCCAAACTCTCACATACATTATTAAATAGTTCTGTAATTGCTGAGAGATCATCAACTTTTTTTTGTTATTGCTTAAGTAGATCTTTTTAATTCTGCACAACCCAAAGTACTAAATTATACCATGCAAGTGGCTCAGGATCCAGTCTCAGCACATCATGAACATGTACACTATTAATCTGATCCTGACCAAAGACTAACCATCAACCCCTCCTAAAGGAATGTTTTAAAAAATGTACGAACAGCAGGGGCAGGCAATCAGGAAACAGTGACGGATAAACAGAAATACTAAGAAACGTTGAAAGGAGAACTCTGTGAAGAAACAACCAATTAAGTCTTCTGCTAATAAAGCATTCTGCTTTATTTTTCTTTTAAATCAGCCATCAGTATGAAATCCATTAGGCTCAGAATGTGTGAAAATGAAGAGCTACATAAGGAAAGCATACCATACTTGAAAACCAATTAGTGTTTTAAAGCTGCCCTCCCCCCCCAAGTAGTAACT